ATTATAATAATAATAACCCTTTCTAGTCCGTTCACGGGAAAATACGATTTAAAGCAGACCGACAAAATAGTCTTCAGTACCACAACAAACTGACAACACAAGAAATGACAATGATATGCTTTTTTCTTTACTAAAGTCTCCACGACACGAGCCCTATAACACTAAAGTTCCTGTTTTGTTCTTTTTTTTTTTTAGCCTGGGTGCTGTCTGGAACAAAGCAAAAACGACACCGTGATGAAGCACAGAATGCCCACCCACGAAAACAAAAATATAAATTGTTATTGTAACAATCCTTCAGTAAAAACCCCGAACATGAAGTGCCGTTGGCTGCTAAAAAAAACAACAACCAAAGAACAAAAACAAAAAAAGAGGTGTAAACTGTCGGAGCACAATCGAAATTACGACTATAAACTATGAATAGATTATGTAGGGCCGTGACACATTTAAATAAATAGCAAATCCACTTAACCCAAATTGTATTCAGTATAGATAAATGTCCTCTTTTCCGACCCTCCCTCTAACCCACTTCCCTCCCCTCCGCGCTCCCTACCGCTTCCCACAAGCCTCACACACATGCACACTCCGATAAACAGAGAGGCTACGATGACATCAGAGTTTTCGGCCTTCCATAAAAACCCGCTATTTCTCCCTGTAAGACCAAGTTCTGCTCCTGTGCTCCAGTGCGACAACATGTGAGTTTTCAGCAAATGTATAATTTGTGTATTAGATAGATAGATAGATAGATTCTGTACTCTACTTTGTTCCCCGAGAGAAAATGGTAGATAGATAGATACTAGCTGACAAGGAAAAAAATGTTCGTTCGAAAAAATGAAAATGACTTTCTTTGTTACCACCCACCTGACATCAACGTGTAACGAAAGCTAGACGATACCTTCAGAATACGCTGTTTATACTATATTCATTACCCTTGCACAAAGCCAGTATGATAAAGTAGATCGTCTCCACACCTTTATGCTTTTTACCGTGAATATTCAAACTTGGAGCTTTTGAGAAAATCTAAGAGTAAGACAGAGTCCGAAAAAGAACCATGAGCTCCATACTCGTTACTTTTCAGATAACAACCAAGAAGCATGTCCGAAAAACAGAACACGAATATATTGTGCGATGCCCCTTTGTGTTCTCCTCTCTCTCTCTCTCTCTCTCTCTCTCTCTCTCTCTCTCTCTCCCTCTCTCTCTCCCCACTCTCTCTCTCTATTTCTCTCACTCTCTCTCTCTTTCTTTATCTCTCTCTCTTTCTCTCTCTCTCTTTCTTTCTCTCTCTATTTCTTTCTCTCTCTCTCTC